AAACTATTGCTAAATCACCATCGTCACGCCTCTGGCGAGTTGCCTTATCACCTAAAATTATCTATTTTCGTGTTTATTATAATAAAGGATACAAATCACCCCGTAACAATAGGGTTATGTTAGTTTGGTATTATACTTATCGTGATTTGTATAGCAATTTGCTGTAAAAAGTTCGACTACTGTAATTACCGACTATTGTGGTTGCATATAGAGTTATGTTAGTTTGGTATTGGACTTATCGTGATTTGTATAGTGATTTGCTGTAAAAAGCTCGGTTACTATACTTACGAGCTATGGTGACATAAGTGGTTTAGATAGGGTTATGTTGGACGTATCGTGATTTGTATAGTGATTTGCTGTAAAAAGTTCGGTTGTTATACTTACGAGCTATGGTGACATAAGTGATTTTGTTATTTAGATATGGTTATATTTAGTTTGTTATTGGACTTATCATGATTTGTATAGAAATTTGCTGTAAAAAGTTCGGTTACTGTATTTACCGACTGTGGTTGCATAAATAATTTAGTTTGGCATTGAACTTATCGTAATTTGTTTAGTGATTTGCTGTAAAAAGTTCGATTACTGTACTTACTAACTATTGTGGTTTTAGATAGGACTATGTTAGTTTGGTATTGGACTTATTGTTCGGTTACTGTACTTACAGACTCATAAGATAGGGTTTATGTTAGTTTGGTATTAGACTTATCGTGATTTGTATAGTGATTTGCTGTAAAAAGTTCGGCTACTGTACTTACTAACTATTGTGGTTGCATAAATGATTTAAACAGGGTTATATTAGTTGGTATTGGACTTATCATGATTTGTATAGCGATTTGTTGTAAAAAGTTCGGCTACTGTACTTACGGACTTTTGTAGTTACATAAGTGATTTAAATGGAGTTATGTTAGTTTGGTATTGAACTTATCGTGATTTGTATAGTGATTTGCTATAAAAAAAGCTCGGTTACTGTACTTACGGACTATTGTGGCTGCATAAGTGATTTAGATAGGGTTATGTTAGTTTAGTTTGATATTGAACTTATCGTGATTTGTATAGTATTTGCTAAAAAAAAAAGGACTTACGAGCTATGGTAGCATAAGTGATCAAATTATAAGCTTTTTAAACTACTAAAATTTTACAATTGCACATTATACTTACAACTCTTCAACCATTTTATGTACTTCCACTGCCCACGTATCTTCTGGCTTGATTTTTAATAATTTCTCCAAGTCGGCAATTGATTCATTGTACCTTTTCATCATATAATTAATTTCTCCTCGATATCTTAATCCTATTGCATTAGCTGGTTCAATTTCTAGCAATCTAGTTAAATCTTGAAATGCTTTATCATATTTGCCCATAATAAAATATATTTTTCCTCGATAGCTTAATTCAAATACATTACTTGGATCTTTTTCTAGCGATTTTGTTAATTCATCGATTAAATTAGAAAGCATATTTTCATATCCACCCATAATAAAATAAACCTTTCCTTGATATTCCAAGGTTAATGCATTATTTGATTTTTCACCAATGCCTTCATTAGTTATTGCTTTCAATCGAAATATATATAAACATGTTAAATTCTATATGAGCAAAAAAACGATTAATGATTTGAATAAATTTACCAGAATATTTAAATTTTTTGTTGCCGAAGTTAACTTCTACTGCCCTTGCGATCTAAATCCAACACAAGGATATAGGGCGCCTTTAAAATCATTATGTAGATGGCATGCAATCCCTTAAAATATTTTATAATTATTAAATTCTATAATTCACTTAAAAAATATAACATTTAATTTCTAAATGTTTGTTACCTAAGTTAATTTCATTTTTAGTATAAAATACTATCTTTTTTCTAAAATTTAGATAGCATCCAATTATATCACCAGAAGTATATGATGGTCCATATGGCCCACCACTTCCTGAGCAAAAAGAATACCCATCGTCACCATGGTAACCACACCCCCATGATTGATATTCCTCGCTTTTTTCATTTTCCTTATTTTTCTTATTTTCCTTATATTCTTGTCCTAAAGGATATGATATGATATAGATGTTAATCGTAATAATAATAAATAAAATAAAAAATTTGCTATTACCAGGCATGAGCATATTATTTATATAAGATGTATCATCTATTTTTTCATCGCTTTGTTTTGTGCAATATCCGATTCCAATCATCCTATTAAGAAAATAGAGTCTAAGATTATAAAAAATCACAAGAACAAATGTGATGGTTATGAAAGGAACAATTTCTTGTTATTTGGCATATCGGCAGGATAATAGCAAAAACACATCTCGTGCGTTGCCGATGTCCATGCGTATATCATGTCAGATAATTAGTTTATCTGGCAGGTATGACGTATACACTTACGGAAAGAATTGTATATTACTTCCGCAGATTTTTTTTATATTAAAATTAATAAGAATTTGTCATGATTTTAATAAAAATTAATAAGAATTTGTCATATGATTTTAATAAAAATTTGCAGAAATGTGAAATTTTTTCCGTCAGTGTTTACATAGTACCTGCCGGATAATTATTATTAATATTACCCATTTTTTCCTTTGTTTATAATTTTAATTTCAAAATAAAATATCCCACACTTTGAAGGGATCGGATGATTTGCTCGAACGATAGCAGCTTTACAGTCATCAGGATCTTTAATTAAAAGTTTTTTTTTTTATAAAGCTATGATGATATTCTTTAAATGCCAATCATTACAACAATACATTAAATCTGTTTCTGCGAGATTTTCATTTCATACTACCTGTATAATTCACTTTAAGTCCACTTGAATCTATGTCAATAAACGATGATTTATCTTTAATATCCCATGCAGTCGGTAAAACAATATCATTGTACGAAGTTATTAACTCTAAATCTTCCATAAGTTAAAATCCAACACAAATTGTTTGTTTAGACGATTAACGAATATTAAAGAAATATTGATTCTATGCGTGTGTGAATACAAGCATTTATTATTGTTTGTAGTTGACCTCATTTATCGACTAAGGGCACCCACCTAAATGCATTCAATAAAAAATCTGATTGGTTAGTTTGATTAAACTGGCGATTCAGATTCGTTATTGAGTCCATTGAGGTAGGCGCTTGAGAACACCAAAAGTCACTTTTGGACTAGGTGCGAGAAAAGGCCCAAATCGACAAAAAATCTTCAGAAAATCAAATTTTATATTATAAATCTTATAATAAATCATAAGAAAATACAAACTTTAAAGTGCTATACTACAAAATTTTATTAATACAATTACTTTTGTGTTAAGTGAAAAATGTTCCCAATCTAAATTAATTTATGTAAAAAAATTTCTTTTGAAAAATTGTCAATTTGGCCCTTTTTCCAGCAGCCCAAATTATATAGATGTTTATATAAAAATATTAAAATAAAAAAAAATTATATTAAACATTTAAAATAAATTTTGCCCAATCTTGGTATATAAAAACACAAGCAAACTTATATTCAAAAATTATGAAAAGATATTTTAAGTTAAATATCTTATATAAATAACTTTTCTATTGCTATTCTCATTTATTCACGAATTGTGGATTCCAAAATCTATAGATATTTCGATTCGCTTACAAAAAAAATTTTAATCTAGTATAATAAATCAAAATAAATTATTAATTAATCCAGATATTCTGGATATTACACGTTTTACAGATCCGAATATTAGTCTATAAGAATAAATCAAGCACTAAATTCGTCTAACAAATATATATTATACTCTAATTCAACAAACTTATGATATTTAATTACTATCAACAGCAGTACTTTCTTCACTTGAAGATGTATCTTCGCTTGTTTTTAAGATTGCTTTTGGTCCAACATTTGGATCGTTGGCCTAGTATCAAATAAAATACATGTTAAGAAAAACTTTAAGAATAACTATTTTATAAATATATATATATATAAAAAAGGGTCACCTCGAATATAGCAATACAAAATTCACTAAGTGGTTTTATACACCATCTGGTAGGAGATCGAAAACCAGTAAACCACCCAAGATGACCGCCAGAATAAGTGGTAGCCAAAATACAATTTGGATTATATCTAAATATAATAAAATTGAATAAAATAAAGTTAGCATCTAATATCAACGTAATGGAATATTTTTGTTAGAATAAGCATACATTGTCTCATCAAAAGGGAGACATTCGGTAGGTACAATGGGATCATCTTCAGCATTGAGGCACAATAAAGGCACACGCACTTTAGTAACATAAAAGTAAGAGCTAGCATCTCGATAGTAGTGATCCACAGTTTCGTAACCAAAACATTTAGATGTTATGCGGGAATCAAATTCACGAATCGAGCGTGACTTTTATAATACAATATATGAAAGAAGATTTAATATTATTTTAGACAATAATATACAAGAAACTTAATTGTGAATAAAATACATACCAACATGGCATTGGAAATATTGATTTTCTTTTCTTGTTTCATAATATGCTCATGTCTTTTAAGGCAGACTTTAAGATTATTTGCCATAGATGGAGAATATACGTATTTACCTAAATATGATCGTGCTAAGGCCCTGCATCCCCTGTTAATTTAATTAGGGTCAAAAGTATAATGAGAAAAATACAAATAACGATAAGGTTAATTAAAATAAATACAAAAAAACGATAAGGTTAATTAAAATAAATACAAATAACGATAAGGTTAATTAAAAGAAATACAAACCCAACGAGATCAAATGGATTACCAACAGATACTGCTGCAATCAATGGTGTGTTTTCGCCTTCTTCACCAAGGTACTAAAATCATTTGCAAAATGGATTCATATAAGAATAAGAGTCTGGTGATAACTTTAAAAAAAACGTACGATAAGTAAAGAATGCAATTTTAAATATTTGCCTTGACCAAAACATTAGCACCCATGCTAAATCCAACGGCAATTAACGGTGAATCCGGAATACATTTTTGAACATATCGCAAACAAGTTCGCAAATCATCAGTAACCCCGGCCGAATAAAGCCTAGGGGAAGTAATTTGAGATTCAGCACACCCACGAAAATTAATCACAACAGCACGATAGTTATGAGGAGGAGTTATAAGAACTTCAAGTAGACATCTAATGTAGGATTCATGACTCCCTATTTATTTTTTATAAAGCAATATTCAGAGGGAGAATTTAAGAAATAACGAACGCATTTAGACAGATTTTTCACCTCCAGTTAATCCGTGCAACACAACAATTGTCGGAGTATTATCAAAAGGTTTTTGAGATATTGGAGGAGTCCAATCTACAGCGATTTGACCACCATCTGGTGTTTCTACTAATTGCCTATAAATAATATTATAAACTAAACCAATTTTTCAAGTATTCATTTAAAATTGATTAATTACCTTTCATAATTAATTAAATGAATTCCATCAAAATTTGCAAAAGCAGCATACGCAGTTTGTAAATGACCACTTAGAAGCCAAAAAGTAGGATAATATACAGCATTTTTTCCTACTAGAGAAGGACATTTTTGCGAAACGTAATCAAGCAATTTAATTTCATTGATTTCTTTTGTTTCTTTGTTTCGAACATTAATTTTTACAGTTTCAGGATTACTATATATTTTCACAGGAGAACCGAGAAATGGAAACATTATTTTAGTGTTGAAAACGAAAAAGGTGAGCGCCGTTAAAGTGCAATGCGGATCAATTTATCTAAATGCATAAAATTTCATGAATACAATAATTGAAAAACAATATCTAGCATTTAAGGTTGCATTATCGTTATGCTTTAATACTAAAAAATCTAATTCACATGATTTTCATATTTAAAAAAGTTTGAGGTCCTAATTTGGTTTCTTCCCTTGGCATAAAGAAAATAATGGGGTTAATATTTCGATTAGGATATATATTGTCCGTAAGACATTAACGTTAAATGTTTAGTCAAAGTAACACAAAGATTATCCACAAAGCCATACAAAGTTAATTTGGTTCTCGTAAAAAAAATGATGATAGCCCATACATAAAAAAAACTTTTTTTGCAAACGTTTAAAAAAACTCACCCAGGATAGTAAAATTATGGTCAAAATTTTATTCCAAAATTTTTGCGGACTTTGACCGGTATTACGTATACAATACAAGAAGACAATGTTATATCACAATAAATTAATCTATATTATATATTTTTTGATGTTCATGGTTTTTTTAGCTTGTCAAATACGATTGTTCGTAAAGTTTATATATATTACAATTTTAAAAAATTATGTAAAATTAGGAGCTAAACATTTTTCTTTACTTAATGAATTAAGTTGATATAGTAACTTTGAGACAATATGTTTGTTCATACATGTCTATTGACAACATGGATTTAATAAAATGGCTAATGGGGTGCTATTCAAAAAATTTTGGTATTTGAGTCGACATTCCATATGTGCGCTCTCTATAAGTATGAACTTTCCCTATAATGATAAGTGCACATAATTTGATTGGTCTAATGAAATTATTTAATATTATCGTTATATTTAGATTATGCTCCATAAATGAATATCCAAAAACGTGCAGTTATGGAAGGTTGACTGTATCGGCATTGGATTCACTTTTATTTCGAAATAATGCACATGGGTGTATTCGAAATAACGCGTAGATGGGAGTTATTTCCGTTTATACGGTATCTAATGGTAAAGAAATTGGAAAAAGAGGATTTGGTTATGTAAATTCAGCGACTTGGTTGGATGGTATACGAAAATTGATTATAATTATGTAAAGCGCGTGAACCATCTCGTACTAGGGTTGGAGGCATGCCCCCATGGGGCATGCCTAGGTGCATACAAAAGGCATGCCATATTATGTGATCTATAGCTAATATATGATTGGCTAATTTATGTTAATTTGGTGATTAACCAATCAGAAACAAATATCTTCTCATAGTATATGCTTTATATCTAGAAAGGGCATGCCCCGGGGTATAGAAAGGCATGCCCTTCGCAAAGTCATGCCCCTGGGGCATGCCCCAAAAATTTGCTATGCCTCCGTACAAACTATTGATTTTTGTGTTTATTTGAAATTTGATTGGCCAGCAAAATTTCCAGGGCAGGGCCGATGATTTCCTGCGGTGATAAATTGCCGTGACAAAATCAAATTCTGCAAAAATTCCGTGCATTAAGATTTATGAACTCTGCATAAATTCTGCGTTGGTTATTCATGAATTCTGTGTTGGTTATATTAGAAACTTCGAATGTTCTGCAATAAGGCAAAATTTTTAATTCGACCATGCTCGTATTTTAGATTCATTTATTTTCTACATCGGAAATTTTTGGAAGCTATATTTTTAGCATCATGTACTTATAAAAAAATTATAAATCCTACTTTCTGCGACAATTCCGTGCTATCGCATTCCGTGATTTCTGCGGCATTCCGTGAAATGCAGAAAAATCATCAGCCTTGGCCCTGGTATTGTTAACAAAACTCACATCTGATAGTCCTAACATTCCAGTTCCGAATTTCTAAATAGATCTGATCATTTCAGGTCCAATCCAGGTTCAAATGAGCGTTTATTGAGCCCATTCAGATTCATTTGAATCCAACCTAGCATAAGCGAACTCATTACGGGGCTCAGATGCTAATATAAACTGAAATAGTAAACTCATTGAATAAAATCGTTATTTCGCAATAACTATATAATATATTATATTAACTTTATATTACTATATCTGATATTTCGAAAAAAAAAAATCAATCAA